TCACTCTTTTTTTGGGTCACACACCTCTCTGAGTGTACCTTCGTAACTAGAGTGATGAGGCACTGCAGCTGCATAGCTAGCTGGGTGTTGGCTACTTACTCCAGAAGTTAGTCTGGAGAAAACATGAAGTAGAGGGTTGGTTGTTTAGTTGTAGAAAATTCCAGTAAAGGAAGAGCAGCAGTCTCGAGAGGTAAGACCAGTGATGTCCTTAACAGCAAGGTTAGAAATGCCTGTTGCCTGAATTGTTTTAAGTATTAAATGAACCACAGGTAGACGAGGCAGATGTTTGTTTTCTTGCTGAAAACGGTCAAATAATACAAGTGTGATCAATCAGGGATCAAAGGATTGAAGGTGAAAGCGAACGTCTTTGTCTCAGTTGTAGGGGTCATAAAATGTGTTATCCTGGACGTAAACAAAGCAGCGGTTCTGTGTTTAATAGTGTTGATGTAGCCTGAGACAGCAATACTGCCACCACTGCTGTTTGTAATGAGCTTCACGACTGCTATCCCTCCTGTTGCTAATTAACATTTCACATCGGCAGTGGGAGACGAGTCTAATGACCTCTTTGGCGTTATCTCCACCACAGGTAACATGTCCCACCCGCGCCCCTGGCTAGGGTTGGATCATTTCAACAAAGCTCCAAAGAGAGGTCGCTACACCTACCTGGAGAAAGCAATCAAGATCCACAACTAAAGCAGCCCGCCCTTCCTCTTTGTCCTCCTCCTCCTCCTCTTCCTCCTCCTCCTCCTCCTCTCCTGCTCCGCCTTCCTCCCTACCTACTTTAACAAACCATAACCACAGACTGTAACCAACCGTGTGTATGTGTGTGTGCGTGCATACGTACGTGTGTTTACGTGTGAGAGACTGAGCGTGTGCTTGTGTGCGTGCGAGCGTGTGCGTATTCATCACTTTTAACACCCCGCCTGGACACCTCTACAGCTCTACACCGACACTATGTCTTCAGTGATACGGATCTCGCTGCAGCTGACGGATTATTCTTCAACCACAAAATAAACTGCACCAACCACCTCCTGACTGTTTATTTTGTTGTATATTTTATTTTATTTTTTCCAATCGTCTCCCTCTACGTTTGAGGTTGATCGATTGTTATTTTTCTTTTCTTTTTTTTTTCTTTTTCTTTTTTCTGGCTTCTCTACCTGTTGACTGCCTGCTTTTTGTTGCCTGTCTGGAAGTGGGAGAAATGAAATTGGATTTTATGATAAAAGCAGTGAAGGGGGAGAGGGAGAGGAATTGGGACACAGTATAAATATAAGTATATATATATACATATATACATACACGCGTATATATTTATATATATATAAATATATATGAACTTCTAGACAGATTTTTTTTTCCCTTTCCGACTTCACTCACCAGTTTTTTGTCATTCAGATTTTTCGGAGGGGGGTTTAAATAAAGCGTTGTTTGAAGAGGCGGCATGCTGCTGTGTGCAGAGTTTGATGGAAGGATGTGGGCGAGGACTAACTGACAGAAAAAAGAGGGAGAGGGCTGACTGATACCGCAAGCTGGCATCCACCCTGAGGCTCACTAGTTGCCCTGATGAAGTTCTTTATATTTCCTGCTCCCATCCTATAGTGCAACAAAAACCAGTATTTCCAAGTTTACACACAATTCTTTCTCACTTAGTTTGTTTGGAGGAAAAAAGTAATTCTTTTTTTTTTTTTTTTTGTCTCTTTCTGCAGATCTTGTATAATAAAATAAAAAAGTCTGCAAAACGGCATCTGTTTAAAAAATAAATGGGGGAAAAAAATAAGGAGATTTTGTCTGTATTTCATCTTGAAAGTTGGCACGTAATGGTTTCTCAGGACTGGCAAATGTACATTTTGGTTGTGAGTTGCTTCTTAATTTTTTCACGGAACACACACACACACACACACACTCACACTCACTCATGCACGAACATAACCCCCCCCTCTGACTTTCTCTTCCTTTTATTGATTTTTCTGATTTTGCGTGGGGAGGGGGAGATTGTTGTTGTGTTTTTTCTCAGTCATTCCTCCTCTAAACACAAACACATACATACAGGCTCCCTCCCATCTTCCTCTCTTGATTGAAACTGTCGCCTCCAGGTGGTTGGGAGCAGTAATTGCGCTGTGCTTTGGTAGGGAGCTGCAGACACTTAGAGCCCCACAGGTTTGAGGATTGTGTAGAGACAAAAAAAAAAACCAGCATTGTAAGAAACACTTTAAGCCCTATGAATTTATTTTTTTTCTTTTGTTTGTTTCTTTTAAAGCACAGATGGAATGCACCCCTAAATAGCGCATAGCTGGCTCTGTAAAGACAACATTTAAGAATTGTATATTTAAAAGTTATGAACGTGTAAAATTTAAGAAAAACACAAGCCTTTGTTGTTGGGTACAGAAGGAGCCAGATGTTCATATTTCTTGTGTGTAGGTTTCTTTTTTTTTTTCCTTCTTTATTTTTTTGCGTTCCTGATGTACCATTGACAAATTTTTTTTTTTCTGTTACATTTGGATTGTTGTTTCTTTTCAAAACTAACTGCATTGGTTTGTCTTGTTAAAAAGTGCAGTACAAAGATGACCTGCAGAATCACACCTTAATTTGATCTTTTCCAGTTTAAAATCCTCAGTGTAGCAGCAGTGTACGACAACTATTCCTGTATATTGCCTTTTTGCTGGAAAATGTATGTTGAATAAAATTTTCTATAAAAACAAAGACGGAACTCTGCTACTTGTCAATGTCAGAGTTCGAAACACTGTTAAAGTGGCAGTTTGGAATTTGACTCTAATGTCTCTTTGCTAAATTTAGGGTTACAGCTAATTATAGTTAGTAAATATGAAAACAGCCGTCCTGGCTCTGTGCAACATTCTTAAATCTGCCCACCAGCATCTTGAAAGTTCATTAATAATATGTTATATCTTTATATAACCTTGTAAAAACTGCTTGGGAATACTGATGTTCTACCTGAAAAATGCTCATTGTGCTACTTGGCATCCTTGTGTGCAGCAAACTGAACCTGGACCAGCGACTACGAAGGCTACAAAACCATCTCCCCTCGCCTGGACGTTCCTCTGAACTGCTGTAAGCAAGAGAAAGTTTAAAGTCTGTAGAACAACAGTAGCTTCAAGAGGAAGAACTGACCCTGGATTGAACAGAAGGATTGTCTGAATGATCCCAAATCCAACCAAAAATGTTAAAGGTGCAAAACACACACACACAAAAAAAAGTTAGATGGAGGTCAGGAAAAGGTTTCTGGCTCTAAATAAGTAACTCTCTTTTAAAGCATTTTTCTTCAAAGGCTCCATCCAGCCTGAGGAACTTCTATAAAATCGAAGCTTTGCCTTTGAAGGAAATGCTTCAAAAGAGATTTTAATTTCTTATTTGTGGGTTAGAAGTGTGCAAACCTTTTTCTGACCTGTACTCTGAACGGTGGAGGAGAAATAAAAAGCTGATCTCCACCATTAAGAGACAACAGGTTGGACCAGGTTAGAGAGAGGCATTCATAAGCAGGGCAGGAGTTTGTTCAAATGCATGTTGACAAGCATCTCCAGTTTCTTGTAGACCATTGCACAACAGGTGTCAGTAGAAAGAATTCTCTCGTCTTTCATCTGTGCAGGACACAATGGAATATAAATGTGCTACGGAGCAAAAAAAAAAAAAAGAGTCGCAGATCTCGGCTCCTCTGGGAGGGAAGTGACCCAAAACATACATCTAAAAGCAGCAAAGGAGGGATGAGAAGAAAACACTGCATGCATCTGATCTTTCTAATTGAGCATCTGGGGGGGAAAAACTGAAACTTAAACCTGAGAGAAGTGGATCAAACCTGCAGCTGAGAGGTTTAGAATCTCATGAAGAGCTAAAAATTTCAGTTTTCTACAATAAGATATTGTTGTATTTTTCCATTTTCATTTGTGTTATTGCTTAAAATGATACCCAAAAGCAACGTGTCTGTTCTTTTAGGCATGGAATACTTAATCATAGAGGCCTGTGGTATTTCTTGTAGTTTTGAATTGTCCATCCATCCATTATCTATACA